TGAGAAATGCAGTCTTAACATCCATCTAATGTAACTCAAGATCATAATGAGCAACAAGTGCCATGATTGTTCTGAAAGAGTCTTTTGATGAAACCGGAGAAAAAGTCTCTGTATAATCAATGTCTTCCTTTTGAGTATAGCCTTTAGCCACAAGACGTGCCTTATACCTCTCCACATTACCATTTGCATCCCGCTTGGTTTTAAAAATCCATTTACAACTAATTGGTTTTGCACCTTCTGGTAACGAGACAAGTTTTCAAACCTTATTGTCTTGCATAGACTTGTACTCTTCATGCATGGCATCAATCCACTGTTGAGAGTTAGAACTTTTCATGGCCTGAAGGAAGTTGATTGGATCATCTTCTAACATTCCACTACTTTCCTCATGTTCTTGGAGAAATACAATATAATCATCCGGAATAGCATTTCTCCTTTCTCTCGTGGATCTCCTTAATGGCACTGGTTCTTGAGGTTGTTGAGTTTGTTCTTCTGGAACAGGGAGTTGTTCAACATTATCATCTTGAGGTTCCGGATTTACTTCTTGAGCAACAACAGGTATAGGAACCTGAATATTGTCAAAAGTAACTGTATGGATTGGATCTGAAGCCAATTCCTCCTCAAAACTAATGTCTCTAACCTTATTTCTCCCCCCAAACTCAACATCCTCAAAGAATGTTGATGTTCCCATCTCAAAAATGTTCCTTAGTGTGGGATCATAAAACTTATAGCCCCTAGAACGTTTAGAGTACCCAATAAAGTAGCTGCTAACTGTTTTGGAGTCCAATTTCTTTTCATTTGGCCTATAAGGCCTTGCCTCAGCTGGACATCCCCAAATATGTAAATGCTTTAAACTGGGTTTTCGACCAGTCCAAAGCTCATAAGATGTTTTAGCAACTTCTTTACTTGGTACTCTGTTCAGAATGTAAGCTGCTGTCTTAAGTGCTTCTCCCCAGAGTGACTCTGGTAAAAAAAAATGAGCAATCATACTTCTTACCATATCCTTAAGAGTCCTATTTCGTCTTTCAGCTACACCATTCATGCTAGGTGAACCCGGCATGGTGTACTGTGGGACGATACCGTATTCCTCTAGGTATCTAGCAAATGGTCATGGACGTTGTTCACCTGAACCATCATATCTACCGTAGTACTCACCACCACGATCAGATCTAACGGTTTTAATTATTCTGTTGAGTTGATTCTCAACTTCAGTTTTATAGGCTTTGAACATGTCCAGAGACTCAGATTTTTCATGAATAAGATATAGGTACCCATAACGTGAGTAATCGTCTATGAATGATATAAAATATTATTGACCATTCCAGGATTCCGTAAGGAATGGCCCACAAATATCCGTATGTATCAATTCTAAGACATCCGAAGATCTGTTGGCACCTAATCTCTTCACTTTGGTCTGTTTTTCCTTGATACATTCAACACATACGTCGAAGTCCGAATGCCATCAGACACAAGACGCTCAACTCTACCTTTTGAGATATGACCCAAGCGCTTATGTCATAATATCCCCGAATTTTCCTTATTTAATTTACGTTTAGTACCATGTGATTCCACATGCAAGGATTCATTATAAGAAGCAATTGTATCGAGCAAATATAGGTTGTCATAAGTACTTAAGTAACCGGTTCCCATAACATTTGAATTAAAAGATAAACTGAATTGACTGTTTCCAAATGAACAAGAATAACCTGATTTGTCCAATACAGAAACAGAAATTAAATTCCGTCTAAAAGACGGTACTACAAAAATATCTTTCAAATCCAAATAAGAACCAGTTCCTAACAACAACCTAAAGTGCCCAATTGCTTCCACATCTACCGATTGTCCGTCGCCCACAAAGATGTGTCTTTCAACATCACTTGGCTTTCGGTAGCTCAGGCAACCCTGCATAGAAACACTTATGTGAGTAGTAGCATCAGAGTCTAACCACCAAGTGTTTCTAGGTACTGAAGCTAAATTAACCTCAGAACAGACCAAAGTAAGGAACGTATCCTTATTATCACGCCAGACGTGATATTTTGTACAGTCCTTCTTTACATGTCCAGGCTTCTTACAGAAAAAACAACACTGATTATCCTTATGTTGTTTCTTCTCAAATGGACCCTTAGCAGCTTCCTTATCATTCTTTTTTTTCTTGCCCTTATCCTTAGAGGCATAGGCCAAATGAGCACTTTCTGTCTTATCTTGCTTCAACCTGTCTTCTTTTTGCACACAGTATGAAATAAGCTCATTTAGAGTCCATTTCTCCTTTTGGCAGTTATAACTGACATTAAACTGATTAAATTATGCAGGAATAGACAACAAAACCAGATGCACTAATAACTCATCACAAAGATCGAGTTTTAGTGCCTTAAGCTTTGAAGCAATATGAGACATTTCCATAATGTAATAACTCATCACAAAGATCGAGTTTTAGTGCCTTAAGCTTTGAAGCAATATGAGACATTTCCATAATGTACTCCCTGATATTTCCTTTGCCCTTATACTTCATTGAAATCAAGCGAGCTAAAAGCGTGCTTGTTTCTACCTTACCGTTTTTAGCAAAACGCTTCTCAATTTCGACAAGAAAATCTTTAGCCTAATCCCTTCGGATTCTATGCCCCTGAAGGCTTCCGGAACGCCGCGCTTAATGATCATAAGACTCATGCGATTTGAACGCTCTCACTTCTCATGCTTCTTCTTTGCATCAGGAGTGTTTTCCGCATTGAGAGGTTGGGGTTGTTCAGTTCTTAATGCATAGTCAAGATCCATGCAGCCAAGAACAATTAATATGTTCTCTTTCCAAACCTTGAAGTTTGTCCCATTTAGCATGGGAATTGAGTTGATGTTAGCAGAAATTGTTGCAGCAGATGCATTAGCTGAAATAAAACAAAAGAATGCTCACATCAATAACCATAATCAATAAAATTCAAATAATGACAATCCCCATCCAAGATACCGGCACAACATTAATATCAAGTCTTTGGACAGTAATATTAACTTGTAAGTGATACCTTGTTGCAATGATCAAACATTGACAATAACTCATGTCAAATAATGAAACTATCTTTGGATCGATTCATTATTCACATGTAAACCTTATAATTGTCACACGCTTATCATCGCAGATGTGTATACAGTCTAAATAAATATTAACCTTCCTTTGGGCCGATTAAATATTTACACGAAAGCATACACACAAACATCTCACATTCCTCATGAACAATCTACACAAGAGAGGTTACTTTGGCAACTTCTTGTTTCAATTAATCAATTGGAGTGAGAGACAACCTTAATACCTTAGTGTCATAATATTTGAATTAAATAATTGATTAAAAACCGAATTAGATTTAAATTAAAAAATTTAAATCAACTGAATTTCCAAAAACTTAATTGGGGTCTCACAGCTTAATTAGGGCCCATAACTTAATTGAATAAATTAAGTATACCAAAGTGGACCCATGAAAAGCCGAGCTGAGTTGAGCGCGAGGCTCACATGAGAACGAACGCGAAGTTCGTTTAAATTGAGCTTAACGCTCACCTGAATTGAGCGCGAGACTCACCTTAGAACGAACGCGAAGTTCGTTGAGCGCGAGGCTCACTTGATAACGAACGCGAAGTTCGTTTGAACGCGAAGTTCGGTTAAAATTGAACGAACGCGAGGTTCGTTTGAGGTAACCACCTCCTTAATTTTTGCCACGATTAATCGCACGAACCCTTAGGGTTTCAAACTGAAACCACCGCCATTAAATCAAAAACAGATCCAGAATCGAAAAACTGAGTTTTCTTGATCCAGATCCAAGAAAAAAATCGAAGAAAAATCCAAAAATTATTGTTCACCAGCTACTTTTTAGTCACTGTTCATCCGAAAAAAAAGACTTTACTATTCATCCGAAAAAAAAGACTTCACTGATCATACGAAAAATTTTCAACAGCCGTTACTGTTCATCCGAACATTACTGTTCATCCGAGAACAGATCTTAATCCAAAAACCAGAGATTTAAGATCAAAAAACCCAATTTTAAAACTTAAATCCCTAAGAATTAATCAATGTGGCTCTGATACCACTTGTTAGATCTAAATAAAAACTTGAGATCTAAAACCATAAAGCCATTGATTAATTCGAAAAGATTAACAATAATCAAAAGAGCGGAAGCTTATACCTGAATCCATAGATGAACCTGAGATGGGTATTGGATCTTCTAACCTTAGGGTTTCTCTATAGCCGAATTTCTCTCTCTAGGTGGGGGTGAAGAGAATTAGAGAATGTAACCCTAGGTTAGGAACCATAACCCCTTATTTATAGATGTTGTACTTTTGTAATTTGGTCCCTCAACAAATCACAATTACAACCTGGTATCTGCACATATAACCCCATGACTTATTTAAATACCCATTAACCCAACTTGATTGATCACTTTAGTGGGTTATCCTGAAAGATAGCAATACACATTGATTAATCATATGTGCCCACAAATAGATTTATTAGATTAAATCCAACATGATCAAGTACTAAATCCAAGATCACCGTTAAAGAATTACATGATCTTACGTTTGAAAAGTACAGGACAGCAAAGTATTAAGAGGATATAAGCATCATGGAGCTTAGGATGATAAACCACAACGTTGCTAAACCGGTAGGCTGCCCCAATTAAAACTCAATAATTTTCAAGTTCAAGGAACAGATCGTTCGGTCAAAGAAAAAGCAATGATACATAAGATTTTTTTTTCCAGTAATTAGCATGAGAAGATTAAGAAACGCAAGCATTTCAACAGAAAACATGTTTTTGATTTCTAGTAACCTCTCAGTCTAAAATTAGACTCTTCCCTCTTACCAATCACATCTCAAATTAAACTAAATAAGTCTCTTGAAAATTAAGCTAATGCTTACAATCACGAAAGACCCAGTTAGAAAAACACATGAATCAAGAGAGGGGAGGGTTAATGGAGAACTTGGTAGAAAGAAAAGAAAAGAAAAGAAAAGAACGTAGCAGAACAGAAGGTACCGTGAAGAGATGAGTGCCCTTAAGGCGATTGATCTGAAGATCCTTCTTGGGTTTGATGACAGGCCATTCCAATTTAACCTCTATCGCTTTTCCACTTGCTTTCTTCTTCTTTCTGCTGTTATTTTTTCCCAATTCCTCTTCGTTTCTTTTGGGCGTCGCCATTTCCTACCCCTTTCCCTTGTTCGAGCTTAAAAATAAAAGAGGCGTATTATTAGGACCCCCCTCGCAGCCAGAGCTCTAGCGAGATGCCACCTCGCAGCCAGAGCTCTAGTGCTAAAGGTTTTTTTTTTTTTTTTTTTGAGATTAATTTGTTTAATTNTTAATGTGTATACATGTCATAGGAGGGGATTTTCTCCTTGTCGCCTATGTGGCACAATCCTCATCATCCTTATAAATTAGGCACAAATCTTCACTAACTCACGCTCTCTTTTACTTTATGAGGATGGCGAAGGCTGTGCCACATAGCCGTCAATAAGGAAATCCCCACCTATGACAAGGATACTCATTAATCTCTTTTTTTTTGTCAGATATCGGTCGATTACTTCCGCACTAATTGAATATTAGTCCCTCAAATCTTGGGGATTGCAAATTTTTCCCTCGTATCCTAAACTGTTGATGTAGAGTAGTGATGAGTGATGACAAACTATTTCTTGCACGCATAGTAATTCTGATGTTTGAAGAATATGAAGTGATGAGTTTGGAAAAGGTTACTTTGTTGCTAACATAGTGAAATGCGAATACAATAACAAATAGCAGAAACTTCAAGAATAGAAGAAAGATGATAAAACTAATTTAAGATCGATGAAGAAAAACGGCCTTCGCTTTAAAAAGAATGTAATACTCACACTGATTAAACAACAATAACATTATACAATGGCTTTTAGTTAATTAAGTATTTTCTTTAAATTCCTATCTTCAACTTTTATTAACTCTAGCTTTGAAGTACATAAGGTTGTCTGTCATTCAATTATGAATCTGTAGAATTAAGTATGGATCAAATCGGAGTCGTAGAATTCACGTTATGACCAATTTAGTGAACCATTAGCAAAACTAAAAATCTTACCAAAAACTATGACAGAGAGTAATTACGTAAAAAATCTCAAGGACTAGATGATGAATGTGCTGCTTTGTCTGTCACCTGGTCCGGACGAGACGACGATCATCTTGTGAAAACGGCGAAGGAATTGTGAAAAACGTGAAGAATAACCCAAAACAGACTCCACCACACCCTCTGCCACACCCACGGTGCAGGGTGTGGCAGAATCTGTCCTGCACCACACCCTCTGCCACACCCATGGTGCAGGGTGTGGCAGACTCGTTTTTAGAATCCCAATCAGTTTGGGATTGTGTTTTGCTATAAATAGAGACACGTTTTTTAGGGTTTCCAAGGCTTGGTTTAGGCTTTGATTAAGCATTGATTGGGGGCTATTTGGAGCACAAAAAGAGGTATTTTTGAGCTATTTGTTTAGGGTTTTATTTGGAGAGATTAAGAGTTTTGTTGGTGAGATTAGTTTGTTCCTTCGAGTGATTTGTAATCTCAGTTTGTACTCTTTCTCTATTAGTGAAAACCTCATCCCCCCTTGCCCCGTGGATGTAGGCAACTTGCCGAACCACGTTAAAATTGATGTTTTGTTTGTGCATTGATATTTGGTTCGTTTGGCTCTCTTGGATTGGCGTTTGGTTTGGTTCAAGCTTGAATATCCACTCAATGAAGATTGATGTGGAAAAGTTCAATGGCACAAACAATTTTGGACTTTGGCGATGCGAAGTCATGGATGCGCTCAACGCGCAAAATTTGGAAGATACGTTGGAGTTGGACGGGAAACCGGACAACATTGATGAGAAGGTTTGGAAAAAGATGAATCGAACGGCGTGTGGTGTGATTAGGTCTTGTCTCACTCAAGATCTAAAGTATGATGTGATCAATGAGACTTCTGCAAAGAAGATTTGGGAGATCCTTGAGAGCAAGTATTTGACCAAGAGTGTGGAGAATCGCTTGCATTTGAAGAGGAGGCTTTACCGCTTCCAGTTGAAGAAAGGAACCTCCATTGGTGATCACATGAACCACTACACGAAGCTTCTTGCGGATTTGGCGAATGTGGATGTTAAGATTGAAGATGAGGACAAGGCGTTGTTGCTATTGAGTTCCTTGCCTGACGAGGAATATGAGACCTTCGTTCTTACTCTTATTAATGGGAAGGCATCTCTTTCGTATAGTGAGGTCACCGCTGCACTTGTGAATTATCAGCTTCGAAAGAAGGATAAGGAGACTTCGTTTGAGCCGGTAGCGGGGGCGTTGGTCGCAAGAGCAAAGGGTCCAAACCGTAGTGGGAGGTCGCAGTCTAGAGGGGCACATCTTGGAGTTCGTAAGAATCAATGTGCCTTTTGCAAAGAAGATGGACATTGGAAAGCCGAATGCCCAAAGTTAGTTGATCGAGCCGGGAAGAATAAAGGAAAAGCTATTCAAGCTTCAGAGGCGAATGTTGTCAAGGCTAGTGGCAACGATTCAGATTCGGATTCTTCGGGCTACTCATTATCTGCACTGCCGTCAGCTTGTGTTGTCTACTCTACAGAGTGGATGTTGGATTCGGGGGCTACATACCACATTTGCCCTAGGAGTGATTGGTTCTCCAGCTTTCAGGAGTTGGAAAGAGGGGATTTTATGCTCATGGGGAATGATCACAAATGCTCTATTGCTGGTATCGGTACTGTTCGGATCAGGATGAGTGACGGGATGATTCGGGAGTTGGTTGGAGTGATGTTCGTTCCTCAGTTGAAAAAGAACATCATTTCACTTGGAGCTTTGGAGGCAGCAGGCTATAGGGTGACCTTGGCGGATGCACGCTTGAAGGTTACATTTGGGTCCATGATTGTGATGAAGGGCGTCAGAAGGAGCAATTTGTACTATTTGCTTGGGAGCACGGTAATTGATAGGGAGATGACGACTTTATCAGATTCGGCTAGACTGTGGCATTGTTTGGTGCTGGGGTATATGATTGGTAATGCCGTGCATTGGTTGTTGAGGAGTGCTATAACCTGCAGATTGAAGTCCTGTGAGCATATTGGGATGAGCAAGACCGTGGTGGAGTTTGGCATTCCTATCCATCGAGCGAGGGGTCTTTTAGGAGGTGTTTAGTCAGGCATTTGGGGGCCTTCCAAGGAGGCATCATTGGGAGGTAATCGTATCTTAGTTTCCGCAGTTGATGATTGTTCTAGGCATTATTGGGTCGCGACCAGTTCCCGTTGGTGTAAAGTCCTAGAAGTCAACAACAATTGGAAGAAGTGTATTGGCAGAAAGGTAACTCGTTGTTCTAGATTTGATAAGGGTCCTTTCTTGCGTTTGTGCCGAGCTCACGGCAATAGGAGACACTTCATTGGTGTGGAGACTTTGGGGCGACGAGATGAGATGACAGTTTCGATGGGTCGTTCCTTTCTGGAGGAGGATCGGCGTTGGTTGTCGAGCATTGGTTCTGGAGCTTCGACATATTTGGGTCATCTTAGTCACAGGTCGCCGACTGCTGCATTAGGAGTTATTGGATCTGGTGGAGCTGCTTCAGATTTTAGGTTGCGTCGGATATTTGGATACCCAGCATTTGGTCACATCAAGGATGTGAGATTTGATCCGATTGCGTGTTTGGGGTTCGGAGGCTCAGTTGATTATCGTTTGAGAGCTTCTGATTTTGTTTTGAGCAGGTATGTCACTTTTGACTCTCGGCAGGTGGAGAGTGTTGATCAGGTCGTTTGGATATCGCAGCAGGTGGAGGGTGATGCTACTTCACGTTGGGTGGAACTTATTCCACATACTCCAGATCATACTGCGTCATTTGGGATTCCAGCTGAGGTGACACAGGTTGGGGATCATTTGATTTCGGATGCAGATGATGGATTAGTTTTGGATTCGGTTGCAGCTGGTGGACATGATTTGGATACGGCCATTGGTTCACCTCAGATGGAGGTGTTTGATTTGTATCAGTTTGGGGCCGCTATTAGTTGCAGATCCGTTGGCGATATTGGGGAAGAGTTGCAGACTTTTCTATTTGTTTGAGGGCCTTTGGAGGCCGTTTGGGTGAACTACGTGAAGGCTTGATTCCTTGGGCAAAGGATACGTAGGCAGTCATTTTGATGCAGCCGATTTGGTGAGCGACATCGACATTTGGGGTGAGTGTTCACACTCTCATTTGGGTCTCAATGCAATTTGCCGAACCACGTAAAATTGGTTGTATCGCTTTTGTGTGATTTGTAATAGATTTTTAGGATCCCTCGACAAGTCAGTCCTAGAACTGATGAGAGGAAGAGCCGATTGTGAAAACGGCGAAGGAATTGTGAAAAACGTGAAGAATAACCCAAAACAGACTCCACCACACCCTGGTGTGGTGTCTGCCATGGGTGTGGTAGAATCTGTCCTGCACCACACCCTCTGCCACACCCATGGTGCAGGGTGTGGCAGACTCATTTTTAGAATCCCAATCAGTTTGGGATTGTGTTTTGCTATAAATAGAGACACGTTTTTTAGGGTTTCCAAGGCTTGGTTTAGGCTTTGATTAAGCATTGATTGGGGGCTATTTGGAGCACAAAAAGAGGTATTTTTGAGCTATTTGTTTAGGGTTTTATTTGGAGAGATTAAGAGTTTTGTTGGTGAGATTAGTTTGTTCCTTCGAGTGATTTGTAATCTCAGTTTGTACTCTTTCTCTATTAGTGAAAACCCCATCCCCCCTTGCCCCGTGGATGTAGGCAACTTGCCGAACCACGTTAAAATTGGTGTTTTGTTTGTGCATTGATATTTGGTTCGTTTGGCTCTCTTGGATTGGCGTTTGGTTTGGTTCCTCGACACAGCTTCAGGCACACAACACATCTGTTGTACCATCTATGGCACAATAATTGGCTAAAGTTTGCCCATTACAGCTTTGATTTATTGCCTTTTTCGATAATATATTAATTGGGATTTGTCTATTTTCTATCTTTCTAAGGTAACTTCAATTTTAATTTTAATTTCTAATAGGTTGTATTGGCGGGAATCTATATATATGGTACATAATGCTCTTGTTCCCCACCAGTAGCCTGTAAATAGTCTCATTTTCATTGAGAAAAGAGTAACGAAAAACAGACAAATCAAGGAGCTTATATTCTTTTTTTTTTTTGAGAGATTAATTCATGTGATATTCTTTAGACATCTCTGTCGACATTCAATTCATTTGAGATCTTTTCGGGTGAAAAAGGAGCAAGCTTTCTTCAAAATCTCATCTTTTTCTCAACTCTAGCTAAGTTTTCTTGA